TATGCCACGCTGCTTTGCTGCTTTTGCTGCCCCCATGCTTTTTACAACCGAATGTTGCTGCTGCTGTTGCTGCTGAACGACTCTTACGCACGGCAGCAACATGTTGCTCGCAATTGGTTTCGGCAACCGTGGGGCGTCCCGGGCAAAAGTAGCACTATTAAATGCAAATCCAGGCAGTTCTTTTAATTGCGTTTTATGTGAATTTATTTGCCATAAAACATGACTTATTCGCCCCACTGTGCGGTGGCTGGGGGAACGCCTTTCGCTCGCCTTGAATGGCTAATTGCAGTTGCTGTTGCTGCTGCTGTTGCTGTTGCTTGTCGGTGTTGGGTATCCATTATAATACCAAACAATTAGTGCAATTTAATTAAAATTACAGCAGCCACAATAGCAACTGCAAGTCATAGAGTGAGATAGACGAACTGACAACTAGGCGATGACCTGCCCCGTCACTCAAGACTCCATTGGAACTCCCACAAAAAAACATAAAATCATCAATTATGAACGTGTATGTGTGGAAATACCAGGCCACGGAGGCGCCAAAGGTTCGATGTGCCCCACTGTGCGCGACATTTGCCTTTGGCTTAGGGCCAAAAAAAAACTGTGCTCTTTATTAATTAGTTTTGTGTGTTTTTTACCGACTCTAAATTCCATTCTCCCAGCTGCCTGGCCTAATCTCTACCGATTTATTCGTTTCAAGTTCTAATTTATCTCCTCAGTGTGTTCGTTTTGATTTGGGTGTGTGCCTTTTGAGAGGCCACACCTAATGTAGCTGGCGAAACTTGTCAGGCAATTGTATAAACGGCCACTTATCTGATTGCAATCCGAGGTTTCGCATCTCACGGATACTCTCTCGACCGAGCACGTTTCGTAATCAACATTTTGACATAATAAGAGCGCCTCTCCTTTTTGGGTGATACCCCAAAAACCAAGACCCTCAGTGTAATTACAACACGTAATATGCGTAATATTCACAGCATAAAATGTAAATGGGGCAAGAGAAATGGTGCCGAAGGATGGGTTATGTTGCATTGGTTTGGGGGGGCATCAATCAAGACCTTGCCGATGATGATGTTAATACGGCTGCATGTTACTTCACATTCTGTGGGTGCGTGGGAATTCGGTTCGCCCGGTTTTCGATACGGTTCATGAAGGAAATTTCCCAGGGCACCGAAACCGACTTGGGGTTAATCCCACATTGAGCCATAAAATAATAGAGCAGCTCACACTCGAACTCGAACCGCATTTACTTCGTACATCCATCTATGGCTGTGACACTTTTAATCGTGGTTTGATGTTGCTAATGCACTTTCTTGGCTGGAGTGGAGGAGCCACCCTATGTGGCAAGGCATACTACTTGCATGTGTGGAAAGCCAGATGCTTATAGCTCGATGTGTGAGAAAATTTTCCCTCTTTTCCACGGTTTTTGCGGCCAGGGGCAGCTATTTATAGAGAGAGTAAAGAGATGCGTGTGAAGCTGACAGTTTTTCCTTTAGGGGACGGACGACTCTTCCCCACTTGCCGCTTAGAAACGCATCAATTTCATTTATTTGCCACTTGTGGCAGCACCACAACAATCCCAATTATTCAATTGATTCGATGGTGAAAGGGAGAACAACATGCATTTGTTGACATTGTCGCCGCATGTAACAAAAACGAAAAAAATCAAAACTTTGTCGGAATTGTGGCAGCGGAAACAGGCAATTTCACTGCAATTGCAATTGCAACAGTACATATATATACATATATGCATATTGGAGTTGGACTAGGAAATGCAATTGCTACTCCACATCCGGGAAGTGGAGTGGATTTGCTTTGCTCTACATTTCAATTAGCGCCTCTCGCCAACACACCAGCACACCCACAGAAATTCGCATAATCGCCGGCAATTGCCTTCAATTTGCGGGCTCAAGTGCGCGCATCCACAAGATACAGATGCGAATACAAAGATACAGATACACTGTCTCAGAATTAATGATTTGCTTTGTCAACCGCAGACGACGCCAGTTGACAAATGCGTTTCAATTGTTTGACCAGCCGCCCAAGAGAAATGCTTTTTTAAATGCGCAGGCGCACAGGCGCGTTGATTTCTGACTCATTTGGGTGCACAACAAAAAAAATATAATAAATATTTACAAAAAATATATATTCAAAGTTTTTTTTTTGAATAAATAGTGCACTAAATATCTATAACTAAGTTTCGCAATCATTCTTAACATTTTGAAATTGATTTAAACTATAAGTGCTCTTATAAAGTGCTCTTCATAAAGATTGTTTTCCATTAAAAAATCTGGTTTTTTCCCGTGCACTCCAAATGGAAAGCATCGAACGACTGCATTCGAAGTGGGAAGATTAATTTCCCTTTCAGCTCTCGATGCAGTCTGTTAATGAGGCAAACATTTTGGTTGATTTAAGTGGTCGGACTGCCGCTTAATGTAAATATCTTGTATGTCTGCCCCCACGGACATAATGACACATTGATTTGTATCAATCCGCGAAACTCGAAACTCGAGTCTGGAGATCCGGAGACCCGAGATACTTTCTGCTGCTCGGGCAGATGACAGCTGACTTATTGCTAATTGCAGGAGAGCCTGGCTTGTCTCATTCCGAAAGGAATGGAAAAACAACACCGAGACCACAGACCAGAAACAAAACCGAAACCCCAAACCGAATGAAATCAGTTCGTCATCGTCGTCTGTCGAGGTTTTTGGCGATCGCTTATCTTTGGCCGGCTGTCAAAATACTTTTAGCGCGGCCTGTTCGTTCGTTACTAAGTTGCCTGCCGCTCTTAATGCGAAATCTATTAAGCCCCGGTCTTGAAACGCCTGCAACTCCAGATATATCTCCTTTGGCCGACTTGAAGTGCCCCGTCAATCATTTTTTATTGTGGCTCCAGACATAAACTCATTTCGCCTGCAATGTGGAATGACGACGCAGCCGCCAACGCCCCGCCAGCGATTTTTTAGTTTTTTATTCCTGTTTTTTTGTTTTTTAGTGGGTGAAAGGGGGTTAAGTGTGGGTCGGGGCGGGGCTGAAAGAAAGAGCCCAGCTGGCGAACTGATCGAAATCTGCCCACATCAGCAGGAGCACCACCAACAACATGGGTTAAAGATATAGCTATATGGCAACAGCAGCTGCTGCAGCAGCGCGAATAATTGGAAAAACGGCTATGGAAATAAACTAAAGTTTGCACTCGTTTCGCATTTCAATTTTTCTCGGCCAACGGCCACACACTCGCATGCACAGGGAGAAATTTCTAGATTTTCTAGATATAAGAAAGAAAAGACTTAAGCCTTTAAAAACATGTATGAAGTTGGAATTTATTAAATAGGTAATTATAGTACTACAATACATTCCTATATTATATATTTTCTTAATTCTTGTTTAATTAATATCTTAAAAATATATGAAAAAGGAATGTATTCATATTAACTTCGCAACTTAAATTTATTTTAAAACTTCTTAAACAGATAGTTTTTCTTTGATTATACGGTAAACTTTCTTTTTTGAGGTATAATGTTAAAATTGATTTTTACCTGTCTGAAAACTAATGGACATATTTGACTTGTTTTTCCGAGTGCTTTCTAGTGCAATCCGATGCACAGATAAACAAAGAAACAGAAAACCGGCAAACACAAAACAAACAAACAATTTTCGAAGCGGAGAAACAGAGGAAAGCCACCATCAGCGATCCCCGAATCGATAACCCGAATCGAAAGAACCGCCGAATGAAAACATTTCCATAAATGCCAAAGAAATCAAAGAGGGTGTGGGGGGATAGCGTTAATTAAACGACAACGAACATAAACTAGCGTATAGATTTCAATTTGGAAAACGAAGAGGGAAAGCAGCTGCCTACGATTTAAGTTTTCAGAAAAGGGGGAACAGGGTTATGCTCTGTGCATAATTAAGCAAATTAAACGCGCATTTTTATGCGTCACGAAGCAACTAAAGGCTGGGAGTTGGAGTTAGGGAAAGATAGATACATATAGGAGGGTTATATAGAGGGAGTTAAACTGGGGAGTCGCGGCCTTTTCGCACAGGTATCGCATGTGGCAGCCACAACAGCAGCAAAAGCCAAAGTCGTAGACAACAGCAGCAACATCATCCAGGCAGGCAATTTATGAATGCCAGGCTTTAGGAGTAGCATCCACAATCTGAGCAACACACACACACTTCACCTTGCCCCCTTCACCACTATCTATTCGAGGCTTATGCAATAAAAATTATATTAAATTACCCAACAGACGCAGCGACAAGCAAAGACAAGACAAGCCAATCCTCCAAGATTCGATTCGATTTTATTGAATACTTACGAGCTCAACGAAAGTCGCGAAGAGCCAAGAAATGTACTTGGCTAGTCGAAGTTAAAGATACTCTTTGGCAAACGTAATTGAAATAAAACTTTAAACAATTTATAATAAATAAAATCTAAGCTCTGCCAATTCTTTATATATACCAGTCATATTTCTGTTAAATCATTTATGAAACCTGAATATCTCTTAACGGATTTGGATGTGCCAAAAAGCTTTACTAAGTAGATAACATCTCTCAGATAGATGTTCACAGCTTGAACAAAAATGTTTAGTTTAAACAAGCTGCTGATTAAGATAAACATAGACCCAGAGTTCTGTAGAGTATGACTTGCAAATTTCTCTTTATCGAGCCCCCCATTCGGAACACAATATCTCCCCAAAGGCCGGGAATCCCCGTCGACGAACAGGGAGAACTGGGAACTGCACCCAAACCCCACGATAATGATGGCCAGTGCGGACCTTTCAGCTGCCGCTTAATGCCATCATTAGTCCACCGTGGGCTACCGGATATGGCTGATCGTTTGTCACTATAAAAACTGCAGCTGCAGTCGCGGACTTGACTTGAGATCTTTATCGGGGTCTCTATATAAACCCATATGTACCTCCAACCCGGTAATTGCAATCTAAATTAGTGCACTTTTTATGCGGCTTAACGGAAACAGCCTTGGGAGGGGGGCCGCACACACATATATATATGCTTTATTGCTTAAACGAATCGATTTGGATCGGGACTAGCAGTGGGTATTACTGATTAGTCGAAACCGGAAACACAGGAATTGCGAACGCCATAGATGGCGTCATTGGCTTCGGGCAATTTGCAGACTTTGCCCTTGGCAGGACGATTAAGTCGATGGGAGAGGACATTCAGATCTAGATTGTTAACCCGCACCATCAAAGTGGGTTCCTTCTCCACGGATCGGCAGACCACGGTCTTTTGGCAATTGACCGGTGAACTGGTGGGCAAAAGGGGCATATTCCTGATCGGGGCATCGGGGAAAACGCCCATGGTCTGGGGACCAACATCAACTCCTACATTGGGATTATTACAGGATAGGCAGCACAATCCATTATTGATAAAGCCAGCAGCCCTGGGACAAGCATCCTTCTCCTCAATCAATCTCAAACGGCGATCAATATCATCAAAACGATCCCGTATGTATTTCTTCAAAGCCGGCATATGAACTTTATCCAACTTACTATCCAGCATATCCTGAAGTTCCTCCATGGTGCCCAGAAAAGTTAGATTGTATTCCTGGACAAGGGACCTTAGGTTTTCGATCTCCACCACACACTGTTTGACTATTTCCAAGCGCTTGAAGAGATCTTCGGTTTGCTTGAGGAAATTCTGTAGAGTGATGTAGAATCTTTCGAGCTTCCTGCTGACCTCCTCCATTTGGTTGAGGATTGGAGTGGCTATGCGGCGCATAAGTTTCTTCATAAAGTCCATGTTGGCGAGAAGACTGCAGGCAATCTTGTTGTCCTCGTCGCAAACGGTGCAGAGATCCTCGCAAGGAGAGGCATATTGCTCGGCCTGGTGGATTTTGTATTTCTTGTCCTTGTCCTTGTTGCAAACGCGAATCTGCTGAAAGTGGCACTCTAGCTTACATTCCAACTGCTTGATGCGTTGCTCCAACTCCTTAACCTTGTCCAGTTGCTCGGAAATGGGCACCACTGCCTCCACATCGAAGGGTAGAGGTGAGATCTTGGACTGCTCGAGGATTCGCTCCATGCACTTGCCCTCAAAGCCACTGATCCTGACCACATCATTCTGGCAGTTGAGCTTCTTGAGCAGGACATTCAAAAGGCTATGCAGGACAGCCACGTTTACATGGGTCAGTTCGGGAACACCCAGGGCAATCCTGGTCATCTCCTCCAGGGTTAGGTCCAAGTGAGCAGGCATAGTGGTTTAATAGTTTAAAATATTTCAAAATATATATAACTTTAGTTTGAACTGTGTGTTCTAATGTGGTTTTCTTTCTGTTTTCCAGGTGGTTCTGTCACTTTGATGATGACAACTATGTCAATGTGCCCAGGTTGGTAAAACTGCTGGACGAGTACAGTCCCAGTGTGGATTGGTATCTGGGCAAGCCGAGCATCTCGTCGCCGCTGGAGATCCACTTGGACAGCGTAAGTGCAAATGCCAGTTATTTCTGCATATTTTCCTATATAGTTCGTAATTACAAGCCAGCCTGCGATCGCCTTTCTCCATCTACTATTGGCCCGGCCCAAAAGCCAGAGCCGTGGCCGTTATTTATGTGGCCACCATGTCCATTTGTCTATGCCGCCATTTGGCTTCCAGCTGCCAGCGCAAGCTATCATTAATAACCGATATGATCTGGCGCGGCAAAAGCAATAGCACAAGCAAAAGCAGCAGCAGCAGCCTGAATCCAGGTCCCAGTTTGAGTTCGAATTTGAACCCGTTTTCCAGTCCAGTCCAAAAGCAAGCCAAGCCATTTGAAATATCGCCAGCTGATCCCGTAATGAATGTGCAGGCCATAGTTTTATCTGAGCTTAGCTTAGCCAGGGATGGCGGCCAGGTAGACCACGGAGCCAAACCCATTCAATAACTGGCTCACCAATCCAACCCTGATCGCAGCAGCGTGCATAATTAAAAAACCCCAAACTTTACGCTTCATTTGCGGGAGAAAGATCCTGTCAAGTCTCGGCTTACGCTTTGGCCAGACCCATGTATTAAGTTTCCAACTCGCACATGTCCATTTACATGGTCAATTAATCAAGCCACGTTTCGGGTTTTCGCTTAGTCTGGTCTCTGCTTTTTTAATTTCGAGTCAATTTTCTCTGGGCCATTGCCAAAAACCAGAAATGAGTCCGAAAAAAATGGATGTTTATTTGAGTTTATCCCTTGGTCCAGCCATCCTCTTTGGGTTGTTGGCAAGGGACCCATTCATAAGCCAGTTCTTCCGTTAATCTTGCCTCTTTTCTTCTCCTCTCTTATTTTGGACCCGCAGAAGAACACGACAACCAACAAGAAGATAACCTTCTGGTTCGCCACTGGCGGCGCTGGCTTCTGTCTTAGTCGGGCCCTGACTTTAAAAATGCTGCCCATAGCAGGTGGCGGCAAGTTTATCAGCATCGGCGACAAGATACGTTTTCCGGATGATGTCACAATGGGTTTTATAATAGGTGAGTTTAACCGGGAGACGATAAAAGACCCTGACCCTATACTTACCTTTATCAATCTTCACAGAACACCTATTGAAAGTCCCTCTAACAGTGGTGGACAACTTCCACTCGCATTTGGAGCCCATGGAGTTCATTCGCCAGGATACGTTCCAGGACCAGGTATCCTTCAGCTATGCCCACATGAAGAACCAATGGAACGTGATCAAGGTGGATGGGTTCGATCTCAAGACCGATCCCAAGCGTTTCTACTCCCTGCACTGCCAGCTCTTCCCCTACTTCAGCTTCTGCCCGCCCAGATGAACTGGAACTGGGTGATCTAGGATCCCAGGATCCCAATAGGCTGTTGCAGGCGTACGTCTGCGCTGGATCGGTTGTGAACCGATGGGGCAGGCGTCAAAAACAAATCTCGCCACTGTGATCTAAGTTTAAGTTTATGGTATACGAGCAACGAAAAAGGTTCTTTGTATATATACAATATATTGAGCAGCTTCCAGCTGGACAGATGTGCTTCCTAATGGTATAAGTTATACTTTAGCTCTAGGTCTTGCAATTCCAACACACTTCCAAGTGCTTCCCTATAGCGTTACACGGATTCTTCCAATCGACTTAGTGCATAGTTAAATTAATGGTCTAGTCTACGTTTAAGTTATCTTAGCTTCAGAGAGACCGCTTGACCCTCTGCTGTGTAATACTGTAATGCAGTCTAATATTGGCCTAAACTAGCAATATGCGTGTAAATAGTAGATTTAACTAACTAAGGAATGTTTAAACCATTTTGTTAATTTTTAGTTTGCTTGAATAAAAACTGAATATTTTATTTAATTGGTTTTGTTAGCTGTTTTCTTGAGCAATGTGAGATTCTTCTGCGTAAGTATACTCCTTTTATTATTTACAGTGCCCTTCTCTGCGCTTCTCAATGTTAAAAGTTAATAAAGTGCCACCAAGTTTAGTTTTCGAAAATTAGTGAGAGTAGCGCTCAAACTATAGTGGAAGCAATAATTTCACATAAGTCCAATTAAATTGAGCCAAACATTTGAAGGGGCTTAAACTGGATCAATAAAATGGCAAATTAACTGGCACACAATTGGCGTATAATGGTTCTTAAATCCTCTTCACATGAATAATGTTGGCCATTTAAAATGTGAAAAAAATACCATGCATGGCAGCCAGCATTTGGGAATGCAAATCTGCCTCGAGGGTCCTTGAACTTCGATGTTTTCGACTTGTTGGCCCATCGATGTTTGCTGCGGTTGGCCGGCTTATCGGTTTCGTGTCACCGAACATTCTGTCTACTTGCTGTTCAGCCTCAGCTTCCTGTTGCTCTGCGCATTTTGCATTTTTTGCGAAAATTCGTTGTTAATTAACGCTAAAAGCCATGTTTAAGCCGCTAAAGCGTTAACTTTCTGGCGATATGGATCAGAGACGGTACGGCGACAGGACAGCGAGCGAGCCAGAGGCAAAAAGATAGACATTGACATGTCCACGTCGATGCCCGACGATGTCCATGTCCATGTCCTGAGCCGAGACAATGTGCTCTCCGTCGGACGGAGTTGAGGGTGCCTCACGATACGGCATCTCGGCATCTCCACTCCAATGACATGTTGCGAATTTTTATAAAAGACTCACTCGACGGCAGCCTCCTCCCCTTTCTGCCCAGAAACTCTCGTGATATGTTAAACAGTTCTGGGCAATTATTTTTTTCCGCTGCCTTTTCGCCGATGAAGGCCCCAGTGGCTGTATCCAGTTTTTAGTTGGCTTATATGCAGATAATCAGTTTTTAGTCCATGTCGGGGCTCAGTTTGGGGCGCGCTTTAATGAATGAAAGCTGCCTGCCTGTCTGCCAGGAGAACAAGGAGCTCAGCTCGGGCTGGATCTGGAACTGAAACTGCAACTTTGGTGCCTTGTTCGTTTTAATTGCAAGGGAAATCCTTGTCAGCGCTGTCGGGCTGCCCGTCTGAGCCGTCTGGAGTCCCAGCATCGATAATGAATTAATTATCATATATTAAAAGTCAGTTTGCAGCAGTTGCCCCCTGATAATCTGCTTTGCTCGGGCACGCCTTTGCATATTTTACGGATTTCAGAATTTAATGAACTTCAGTCTGGAAACTCTCAGACCCGAAATCTCATTCCTTCCAATTTTAGTTTTATGGCACACGCATTTTTTGTTTTCTTTGGATTTTCATTCATCACTTCTAACCGCAAATGAAAGATAAAGTCGTAACCGAAAATCCAGTGGCAATAACAAAGGCAGCCCAGCATTTTTCATTTCGACTTGGCGCCGCCCACGAATCAGATTTAACAGCGGATGGGTTTCTTTTGTCCAAGAGCATTTAATTTGCGGTTAGCTGCGGCCAAGTGATTCATTAGATACAAATTGTGGCGACTCCCCCGTCGAATTCGAATTCGTTCCCATGCTTTCTCGATTTATGCAAAATCATAATTTTAATTGAATCTCTTTCTTGGCTGGGGATTTGGGTAAAGGATTTGGTTGTCGAACAGCAAGTGCTCTGTATTTTTAAGGGTCTTTTCCCGGCTGTAAGCCTCATTTGTATGCAGAGCAGTCGACAAGGCGCAAATTACATGAGAAAATGCCCGAAACAAGCTGATCGGCGATAAGGAACGCAAAGTATCTCGTAGATGCGCAGGCCTCACTGCGTGCCCAGTGTATCTGAGCGATTGTTATCGTCCGGCCAGCCCTGTCAACCTCGGGGTTTGCATTCAATTTTGGCCTGCCCGCGAAATGCCTTAGCCTCAGCATCCATCTACCTCAGCATTGAATCTCTGCGAGCCTCCATCAAACCGGTAGCAGCCTTTTTTGGCCGCGAAGGCAAGCAAATAATTTGTCCGTCTGTCGCAGCGTCCTTTTGGCCTGCCAGTCTTTCAGCCTGCCTGACTGCCTGCCTGTCAGTCACTCAGCTAGTCCGCAAACTATAAATTAGTGCAGCAGCAGGAGCTCCCGGAGAGATTTAGATGGGGATGGAGCTGGAGCTAAGGCTGGAGCTCGAGTTTGGAACCCAGCGCAACACCCAAGTGTGCCAGCCCCTGAATTTATGTTGTGCATGCCAGCGATCGGGGCGTGGATGCGGAATGGGGTTCGCTATTCGAGCACCATCACAAACATCGCCAGCAGTTCGGCTTCGGCAACAGGTGAAACGAGCAGCAGACTAGATCAACTGCCAGGCGGCGGAGAGTGCCAGAGTTGCACATACCCTGTAATTGAGGGGCATAAGGAGCTTGGATACCCATTTTGGAATTCACAATTGATAATATTATTTCATATTCCAAAACGAAATTGTTTACATGTAACAGGACCCTTCTCAGCGCTTCTCATTGTTAATACATAAGTAAACAGAGAGTGAAAAAAAATAAGTGGCAGGGCTCTCCTCTGCGCTTCTCACTGTTAATAGCTAAGTTAGGAATGAGTTAACCTTAAACTGAACTTCTAGTGTGTCCCAGGGTATTTCGAACTTCTTATTCTCAAGTCACCCAGTGAAATATGCTTCCCTGTCTATAATTGGAAATGTGAGGCAGCGAAATGAACTACAGTTGCTGCTGCCAACCCGCTCATAATTTAAAGCTGCCGTTGCAGTTTATGGCCCCAACTTGGTTAAATTATGTATAGCCGGGCGGCTCTCTTCCAGGGGTTTACCATCGGGTTTAAGGAGAGAAGTAGAGGGATTTCTTTAGCGATCTCAGATTGCCAACAGATAGTTGCAGAGCACAGCTGCAAGCTATTAGAGTTTGCCAAACATACTTAACGGTCAGCAGAAGTTGCATACAGGAACAGCAGCAGCAATAAGCTAAGGCAAAAGCAACAGCAACATTGGTGAACAACTTT